AACAATTATCTCCCAGGATAGAATGGATCGCCTTTCCAAAGAAGCGGTACTTCTTCAAAGGAAATATTCGAACGCAACTTCACAAAATAATCGCACAAATGACAATGATGAATAAACGAAAAAAAAATAAAAAATTTCTAGAGTGCGTCGGGAAAAAAGTCTCTTGGGAATAAAAATGCCACGAAGAGTCACCAGACCGAATTAAACAGTTCAGTTATATAAATGGCGAAAATGAAGAGTCGCGAGCAATGAAGACTCGCTTGCGGTTTCCGTTTGTCCAAAAATAAATAAATAAATAATTTCTAACAAAACATGTCTGTTCGGGAAAAAATAAAAACCGATGGACCCAGCCGGCTGGATGGACAGCGGCGACGGCGCGCGCGCGCGGGGGGGGAACCGACCTAGCTTAGCGTAGGTCCTCTCCCTTCCACAAATGTGGGGTACCCCTTGCGGCCCAAACCCATTTGAGAGGCTCATCTAAATAAATCATCTCCCATCACAACTTCTATCCAATGTGGGACTATTTCTATCCACACTTCTCATTCGCAATTTATGAATTTTTGATACTAAAATCCCAACAACAACTACAAAAGGATGCACGAGCTCCATATGTGATCCAGCAAGCACTCTCGGAGACTGTATTTCCATGAATCATTGGTGCGAAGATTGTGAAGAAACCATGGGAGATATTATAGTAAGAATATCAAGGCTTAGAAAAGGTATGCACCATTGACATTAAACTTTGAGAAAAGAATTTGAGAGTTCTAAAATGAAAATAATGAGACCGTTCAAGAATATTATGGTAAATTAAAAGAAATAGTTAATCAAATGAGAGCCTATAGAAACGAAATAACTTACCAAAGGTTAGTAGAAAAATTTTGGTGACACTTACTAGAAAATATAATTCTTTTGTCACCGCTATAGAATCATCTAAGGACTTAAAAACCCATCATCTAAGGACTTAAAAACCCTGACAATCAATAAATTAATTGGCTCTCTAGAAGCATATGAAAAAAGATTGGCGGCACAAGATGAAGACCCGGTTGAAAGTGTCTTCCGGTCCAAATTAAACATATTGTCTCATCAATCTAAAAATAATGGAAGGAGCTCATGGAAAAATAAGAGGAGGAGAAATATCTTCAAAGGAAAAATATCTATCTTGCAATGTTTTCAAGAAAAATAAATATTTGGAGAAAGATTGCTGGTTTCGGAATAAACCACAATGCCGCTCTTGCAAAAGGTATGGCCATGTAGAAAAAGACTGTCGCTCAAAAACAAATTATCGAGCCAACTATGTTAAAGAAAAAGAAGGTGAAGATAATACATTCCATGCGGATCGAGTGGCAAATGATAAGAAAAAAGACACGTGCCAAAAGAATAAAATGGAGTGGCAGAAAGGAAGAATAGAACTGTCATGGAGATGGCAAGGTCCATGATAAAGGAGAAAAGCATTCCCAAATCGTTTTGGGCGTAAGCAGTTTACACGGTTGTATACATTTTAAACAGATGTCCAACTAAAGCAGTCCAAAATAAAACTCCGGTCAAAGTATAGAGCAGACGGAAGCCTTCAACAAAGCATCTCAAGGTGTTTGGTTGCATTTACTACCTCCACATTCCTGCTCAAAAGAGGAGCAAGCTTGACGAGAAGACTCAAAATTGAATTTACCTTGGATATAGTGACCAATCAAAAGACTATTAGGTCTACAGCCTAAGAACTAAGAAGCTCATGATCAGTTAAGACATAGAGTTCGACGAGAATGGTGTCTGGAACTAGGAGGACAAGAAGATCAAGAAGAAGTATGTTGCCTTGCCGGACACACCACCTGCTCAAGAGGAATCAATAATGCAAGAAGAAGGTGAAGCTTCAGATTCCACAACTCACGACGTAACACCAACATCCTCTCCAAGAGCAACGCTGGAAGAATCTACTCCAGAGTCTCTAATAATGAGGGTAAAATCTCTTAGAAGAATCCATTACACGTGCAACTTTGGTACCTTACATCCAGAAAACTATGAAGAGGCGTCCAAAGAAGAAGTTTAGGTAAAAGCCATGGAGGAAGAGATCAAGATGATTGAGAAAAATGAAACTTGGGAGCTCATCAATCACCATGAAGATAAAGAGATCATTGGAGTCAAGTGGGTCTACAAGATGAAGCTCAATGCAAATGGATCTATTCAGAAGCATAAGGCAAGACTTGTGGCAAAAGGATACTTGTAACAACCAGGTATCGACCATACTGAAACTTGCTCCTGTTGCTGGCCATGATACTATTCGGACACTCATAGCCCTAGTAGCATAAAAATGGAAGATCCATCAACTAGATTTGAAGTCAGCATTCCTAAATGGATATCTTCAAGAAGAAATATATGTGGAACAACCACAAGGATTCATCATCAAAGTTTAAAAAAAAAATTCTAAAACTAAAAAAGACCCTCTCCAGTTAAAGCAAGCACCACGAGCGTGGTATAGCAGAATAGATGAATACTTCACCAAGCTAGGATTCAGGAGAAACATGAGCGAGCCAACGCTCTACATCAAGACCCAAGGTAAGCCTGACACTCTCATTGTCTCCTTGTATGTGGAGGATCTCATATATACTGGGAACAATGAAGAGATGATTCAAGAATTCAAAGAATAAATGATGAAGATATTCGAGATGACAGACTTGGGCTTAATGCACTACTTCCGTAGCATCATGATCAACCATAATAATAGAGTCTTTATCTCACAGAAGAAATATACCAAGAACCTCCTCAAGAAATTCAAGACGAATTATTGCAAAGAAGTTGCAACACTGCTCGTGATAAATGAGAAACTATTTAAGGAAGATGGAGCAGAAAAAATTGATTCTACATAAGTCTTATTGGAAGTCTACTATATTTCACAACTACTCGACCAGACATTATGTATGTGACAAGTCTACTATCGCGCTTCATGCAGAGTCCAAGCCAAATTCACTTTGAAGCTACCAAAAGAATTCTTAGATATTTAGAATGAACTACAGACTACAACATTTGGCACCGGTCAAGTTCAATTACCAAGCTCATTGGCTACACTAATAGCGATTGGTCAAGATCAGCTGATGACAGGAAGAGCACCATTGGCTATGCATTTACACTAGGTTCTGGAATATTCTCATGGACATCTGAAAAACAAGACTCGGTGGCAGTCGAGCACATCACAACCGCCACGACCACTGGTTAAGCAATATGGCTTTAGAGAATTCTAGAAGACATCGGAGATGCATAGATAGAAAAACTCCGATATTTTGTGACAACAAGTCTGTGATTGTTATCACAAAAAATCCGGTGTTTCACGGAAGAACTAAACATATCGACATCAAATATCACTTCATACGAGAAGTACAGAGTAATGGAGAAATCAAGCTCAAATATTGCAAGACTGAAGATCAAATTGCTGACATATTTACAAAAGCACTGCCACAAGCAAACTTCGAGACACTACAGAGTATGCTCGGAATATCAGGAAAATGGATCAATGATAGTGTTAAAATATTGATCCATTTCCTGAATTCTCTAGATCAGTCCACATAATTCTAGCATGTCTTGTACGAGCTAGAATGAGTGGTAAAAAAACACATGAAGAGGCAGGTGAAAATTGTGTATAGACTAATTAGTAGTAGGTAGTTAGTGGCCAATGAATGGCCAGCAGCATGCCATGTTCAGAGATAATTGAGAAGGAATGTCGGTCAAAAAAGGCCTATAAATTAGTTGTAGTTGTGCTGGTTCATGGAGTAGAAGTTGAAGGCACACACAAAGCTCCTCCACTTATAAACTATCCAATAAAGTTTCCCATCTCGCGCCCTTTTTTCCTTTGCTGCCCCCATTGCCATTATTTTTGCTCTCTCAGCTTTAAGTACCGAGCCTTGTCCATCCTCACAAGTAGCCCACACAAACATCAACCACTTAAGCTGCAAATGACAACCATTCTATTTCAGAAATCAATTTCTGGCCAAATTTCTGTTTCTATTCCTGGACGAGTTTCTGAGAAAAAAAACACGTTTGATAATGGCACAAAATTTCTGTTACCGAAACAAAAATTTGTTTGATAACGGCACAAAATTTCTCCATCTCGGGTCACCGGCAAGTGGACGGTGGGCGGATGGTGGCGGCGGAGGATGGTGGCAGCGAACTGGGGGTGGCAGACGGCGGAGGGAGGCGGCGGCGAATGGCGACACAGCCAGTGCCGAGGACGGCGGCTGGAGGCGGCCAGTGTCGGGCAGCACTGGGAAGTGGGTGACGACCGGCGGCAGGAGGGGGGCGGCGACCGGAGGAGGGCGAACAGTAGCAGCAAATGGCAGGCGGCGGACAATGGGGGAGAGGTGGCACTGGACGGCGACGTGGCCAGTGCGGAGGACAGCGGCTGGAGGCAGCCAGCGTCGGGCAGCGGCAGAAGTCAGGCGACAACCGGCGGCGGGAGGGGGCAACGGCAGGAGGAGGGAGGCGAGAGGCGGCCTGCCGACGGTGGGAGACGGTGGCGGGTGGACGAAGGGCGGCGACCCACAGTGGGTGGCGATGGGAGGAGGGCAACCAGTGGCACGAGACGGTGGTCGACGAATGGCGGCCAGGGGCGGGGAGGGAGACAGCAGGAGGCGGCAGCCGGCAAGTGGGCGACGATGGGCGGTGAATGGGCGATCGGCTAGTAGAAAGGGCAAGCGATGAGAAGAATTTCTCATTTTTGTTCCAGAAATAAAAGAGTAAAAAATTTTAACTTCTCATTTATGTTCCAAACCTAATTATGAAATCAAAATTTGTTCCAAAAATTGAAAAATGAAATTGCGTTACCAAACGAATTTTTGTTCCAAACTTGTTTCTAGAACAGAAATATAGAAACAGAATAGTTATCATTCGCAGCCATAGTTTCCGTAATCTAATTATATGTTTTTGGCGAAAAAGGATGCTAGTCTATGTTATTGAGGTGTACAAGAAAAGCTGCTTCAAAGTTTCACTTTCCTTACCGGAATTGTTATCGAGTGAAGGTAATTGCACAAAACCTTTCGGAAGAAGAAATCAAGGGCTTGAGACAAATGTTCGGCAACATGGACACTGACGGAAGCGGTACCATCACATTCGAAGAATTTAAATCCGGATTGGCTAGGTTGGGATCGAAGCTCGGTGACGCAGAAGTAAGGCAGCTAATGGATGCGGTAAGCACTTTCAATAGCTTGAATTCTCTTTTACTTCTTCTCTATGGAACACTCCATTATAGTATAGGAGCTTTTCTCTTTGGGAAGTCACTCTGAAAATGCATTTCTTTTAACAGGCCGATGTCGACAAGAGCGGGATCATTGATTACACTGAATTCATCACTGCCACGATTAACCGCCACAGGCTTGAGAAGGAAGATAGTCTGTTCAAAGCTTTCCAATACTTCGATGAAGACAACAGCGGGTTAGTGTCACTTTCACCTTGTTTCTGCTAGGCTCCATTGTGTTAAGCCTCAAGAATAAGGAGAATTACCTTATTCGGAGCATGTTTCACGACTGCCGTTCGGAGAGAGATTAAGGTCTGCAAACACAATGGAGGGGCCGATGTATCTCAGAACTCCGAAACCTCTGAAATCAAGAACATATCATGCTTAGTGATGTTAGTGTCCATAGCTTTTGTATTCACTTATTTTCTTGGCCCGCATTTCAGCCTGCTTAACCTTCTGTAGGTTTATCGCGAGAGACGAGCTGAGACACACTATGGCACAATACGGAATGGGGGACGAAGCCACCATAGACGAGATCATCAAGGATGTCGACACAGACAAAGTATTGAATCTTTCCTCAAGTCTTAACTCTGATTTCTCGATCCCTATATCCCCAAACTGACTCAGGTTCATTATGATCCCGCCATGTGATGCAGGATGGGAAAATCAATTACGAGGAGTTTGTGGCCATGATGAGAAGACGAACTCAAGATCAAAATGGAAACGAGAGATGGTGGAAAGGTAGATGAATGATTATTTGTTCTCCTTTTGTACATTCATCTCTATAATAAGTCGCCGTACAGAATGTGTACTATTAATTCCGACCACGGTGACATCCAAATACCGTAACATGACACACGATCCAATGCGGTCCGGCGCGGTGAATAATTCCGAACCATTGTGTTGAATAAAATTGTTGAACATCAGAGAATTAGAATGCGGAATAAATATTTACCCTTCAGCTTTCTTTTCAATCCCACATTTGTGAATTGCAATATTTTTTTTCTTTTGACAAGTAAAAGGCATAAGGCTCCCTCTAAACATTGCCGTAAAGGTCGTACATTCACCATGAAATATTTGTTGAGTCATAATTATGGTGTTCGACCTGATCGACTCGATCGAGAAGGAGCGCGAGCTGTCTCAGAAGGACGAGACTCTCCAGTGGATATGCACCTAGGGCAAGGGCTAAGAACGCGCCATAGTCGCAGAGCGTGGGTATCGAGATAGTGGAATTGGGTAGGGCATCGAGCTTGGATGGTAATGGTGAGGATGAGAATTCGAGAGATGAAATCGGTTTGCCTAAGAGTGAAGTGAGTGGTTTGAAAGGAGGGGGAGTCGGTGAAGGAGGTGGAGTTGGTGCTTCCATGGAGAGAGAGGGTTGAGTTGATGGAGAGGCTAGTGTAGCGAGAAGATCGGGGGAAAGGAGCAGTTCTGGAGAACGAGACGAAGAAGCGAGAAAGATGGGGAAAATAATTACCTTTTTTTTAGAAACGGAAATCATTTTTCCCAATTTTTTAGAAGAGTATTCCATTGACTGGAAAAGGTTTTCTTTGACTACTCGTTTTCCACGCCCCAAACACCATAATTGTGGAAAAAGTTTTAGTAGTTTTTCTTTGACCAAGAGAAGTACTATTAATCGAGTGGGAATAAGAACAATAGGAGTGTCACAACCTGTCGTACATGCTCACTCAAGTGCCGAAAATTTTAAAAATCGATCACTTAAGGGCCATCAATGATATACCTCGCCAAAAAATCTAACATGGGCACCGATTATCTTACGTGGGCGCTGACGTTGACAATTTTTATAATTTTTTATTTTTTTTTGTTATATTTCTTTTCCTTTTTTTTCTTTGTTTTTTTCTTGTGCCAACGAAAGTCATCGATTGTGAAGGCCTTGTCCACGGCTAGTGGGGCCGCAAAGGCCTTGGGCGGGGCCATTGTGGCCTCGCCGGCCGTGTGCAAGGGTGCAAAGGCCCTCACTTAATCTGGGCAAGGCCGCCTCGCCTAAATTTGGCAAGGGCCTTTGCGTACTCGCTTGCGGTTGGCGAGGCCACCATGGCCCTGGGCAAGGCCTTCACGGCCTCGCTAGCAGGTGGCGAAGGCCTTCACAGGCTATGGGTGACGGCACGAAAGCCCTTGCCCAGGGCCATCGCAGCCCCGCCAACCGAGGGTAAGGCCTTTGCGGCTAGCCAAGGTCATCGGCGTAGAAAGAAAAAAACGAAATAAAAATAAAAAATTGCAAAAAAATTCACGTATGACAATTTGGCGAAAATGACACTCATATGATCGATTTTACTCCGATATGACACTTGAGTAAATGAAAAAAAAAGTTTTGATCTCAAATGAATGCCATACGAAAGTTATGACACTCATCATGTTATTCCAATCGAGTGTGAAAGATTTACTTTACAAAAAACGATAGTAGACAATTTAACTTTTTAATCACATTGAAAGTAAGCATATGCAAAGATAAAAGAAAGACACAGCAATAGAATTTTGAAAGTTGAGCGTATAATCAATTAATCTAAACGTTTGAATCATCAAAATACAAGGCAATTTGAATCTTTAATCATACCAAAAGCACGCGAAATACAGCTATTGACACCAAAAAATGACCAACTTTTGGTTAAAATCGACAAGTGACGCACAGTCATCGACAACAAATATCAGTTATCAATGAGAACCCTCTGGGGATCAAGTCATTGAATAAATAACCGAGTAGCGACATTTTCATATATGTAAATTCTTTAGATAAGTGTTACTGGATAATAGGTAACTGCAGGTCGGTTATGTTTATGGTCACTATTTTAGGATTTTGTAACTTCTTGTAAATAAGTGTTGTTGCAACTTGTTGTAACCGCAAACAAGATAAAGAAGTTATATGTTCTAAAGATAGGATTAGGAAGTTATCTTTTAAATATAAAGATTGTATGTGACCCTCGATTGTATGCTAAGAGCCACATTGTAATCTTTGTAGAGAGCCCCCAATCAAACAGAAAGCTCAACGTTTTTTGCAAATTTATCCTTATCTTTACATTTCCGCAATTTAAATGAATGGCCGTGATTGCCTTTAGTTTTCGTATCTTTAAATTTCTTTCCATTTACTTTCATGTCCAAAATTAACAAAGGGCCATTCACAACCTTTGTCAGTTCACTTATCGATCCATCAATAAGATATTTCCTCAACACTTTTTTGGCAAACATCTTTTTAGCACATCTGGTGAGAAGCATTCTGTTGATTCGAGAAGATTACCATGGCAAGAACAAGAAATCAGTAAGAGTCCGACAAACAATGTTCATTACCACAAACCGGTAATGAGGCTACTGCACATTTTGAGTCATCAGCCACTGAAAAAGGGGCAGAGAGTAACCAATAGAGAGATGTTGATCTTTCAAGGCATCATACTAAAGAGCGGTTAAGAGATGTTGCTCCAAATTCTAACATGGCGTTTACCATGAGAAGAATGCTTGAAGAACAACAAAATAAAACAACAAATCACTTCGTGAGTCACATGTGGGATGTGACCAAGAAAATTGTCATCAATGCTATGAATGATGCTCTATTGAGATCAGGATCGTCCAATCAACCACTACTATTCTAAGTCAATCTAGTGATAACAAGGTATGTTCCTAGTCTCTCTCCATTTATTCATGTTGGTCAAAATACTCATAATGGAATTAACAATTTGGCAAACCAAAATGGTCAACAAAATGGACAAATGCCAAACCTTGAAAATATAAGGCAATTAGTATATGAGTGCCACTCAATGGGGCAAATACACCAACCAACGTAGATAATCCGGCAAGACCATCATCACTGCCTAGGGGGACAAGATGGCCAACTAAATCCACAGTTGAAGCCAACAGAGATTGTCAAAGAAGTTTGACAACAATCGGGGTTAGATAGGAGTCTTATCATACCTATTTATAGGTAATCAAATCTTGAATAGCTCGATAATTAGCCTTTTCCAAGAGGCTTCAAAACCTCTGAGTTTGCCATTCATAATAGCGAAGATGAACAATCGACCATCGAACGCATTGGTCGATTTATAGCCTAGTGTGGAGAAGTAAGGACAAATAAGTTTTTAAGAATCGGGTTATTTTCTCTATCTTTATCGAAAAATGCTTTCACTTTTTCTATAGGAAACTAGGCTGAGATGGAAAGACAATTTAATTCTCATATCTAGAGAACAACACCTAAGTTATCGATTACTGATTTGGCTAGACTTTATCAATATAGTAATGAGTCGATCGATCAGTTTGTTGCTTGATTCAAAAAAAGGTCTAAAAATGAATGCCTTACTTCACTCTAGAAAAAAGAGTTCACAAATTTGGCTTTCAATGGGTTGAAATTTAATCTTATAGATAAATTCGAGATTCTGCTGATTTATTTCAATTGACAACAAAACTATCTAAGTATGAGCAACTACTTAAAAAACAAAAATAGAGGGCCATATGAGTCAAATGATGAATCTAAGCAAGATAAATTCGGCAAGGAAAAATGGATTTTGTCAATGATAAGGGTATATGATGACTCTTAATTATCTAATTTAAAATAATCGAATGATTGATAAATCATTCCATTTTTTTTAAGGGACTTATGTTGACACCAAAAATATGACCAACTTTTAGTTATAATCAACAAGTAACAGACTTAATTGATAATGGCAGAGTTTATCTAACAACAAAAGTCATTGATGAAAGAACAGTCAACAATTCGCTAAGGAAGTTATTGACAGCAAACATCGGTTATCGATAAGAACCCTCATAGAGGATGAAGTCATTGACATCTACACATAACTGTTGAATAGCGATATTTCGGATGTGCAACTTCTATTAGATAAGTGTTGCTTATAATAAGCAATGGGTGGTTATGTTTATGGCCACTATTTTAGGATTTTATAACTTCTTGTAGATAAATATTGTTGTAATTTCTTGTGAAAATAAGATTGGAAAGTAATCTTTTAAATTCAATAACAGTTTGTAATCGCAATTGATTGTAGGTTTTAAATAGTCACATTATACTTTTTGTAGAAACCCCAATCAATCACAAAACTCAACTTTCATGATAAATTTATCTTTTATCATTGCTCTTTTGAAATTTAAATTGTTAGCCGCGATTGACTCCATTGTTCACATCTTTATAAATTTCTTCTCATTTACTTTCTTATCCAAAATCAACAAATGGCTCTCGACAACCTTTGTCGATTCACTTATCGGTCCATCAATACTTTGAAAGATATTTTCTTGACTCTTTTCGGCGAAACCATGGCGGCAGACTACTCGAAAAGTTGAGTGTATGATCAATTAATTTAAAAAGCTCAATTCGCCAAAATAGAAGGAGATTTGAAAATCTTAGATCTCAAGACCACCCTCTGTCACGTGGCAGGTTTGTAGAATGATAGAGGAGAGGTCAATTCATTGCGTACGGGGAAGGGTAAATGAAAACCTGCCCCGTCCTCTTTAAAACATTTTTACAGAGATGACCAAAAAGCTTATGCCAGAAAAAGAAAATTTAAATAGGGATAGTGCACAAATGATCTCTAAATTTTGATTCGATATATAATATTATTCATGAATTTTTAATTTATTCAATATGATCCATAAACTTTAACTTAATATTCAATGTGGTTCTTAAACTTTTAATTTGTTTAATGTGATCGGTGGACTTTAGGTACATATTCAATTTAATCCATGAACTCAGTCCCTGATTTTGAATTAATGGAAGGAATACATTGAACATTTTCATATAATTCATGAACTAAATTAAACATGTACAAAAAGTCCGTGGATTATATTGAACATATTAAAAGTTAAGGGATCATATTGTATATTAAATTAAAATTTATAAATTATATTAAATAAATTAAAAATTCAGAGATCATATTATATATTAGATTAAAATTTAAAAAATATCTGTACCGTTTTCCCTTGCAAATATTCTATGGACTGCCCAAGTGAGAACGCAAGGAACCCAAAACGGAAAGCTAAAGTTTGGCACATGAAAGAAAGAATAACCCCCACCAAAACAAATAATAATCATAATGATAAAGAAGACCCTCTTTCTCTTCACTTCATCGTCCTCCTCCTCCATATAATAATCTCTTGAACACGGCAAAGCAACACCAGCATCATCATCATCAGTCATCTCTCTCTCTCTCTCTCTGATCGCCAACAATGGGACTCTGCTTCTCCAGGTCCAAATCCCAGAACATTCCCATCTCTTCTTCTTCCTCCGAGTCTCCCCCTCGCAGGAAAGCCCACCCACGGTCCAGAGGCCCGCAGCCAAAACCACCGAAACCACCTTCGTTCACGGGCCCGCAGCAGCCGCCGCCGTCCTCCCAGATCGGCCCCATCCTCCGCAAGCCCTACGTGGACATAAACACCCTGTACAATCTGGACCGCGAGCTCGGCCGCGGCCAGTTCGGGGTCACCTACCTCTGCACCGACCGCTCAACCGGCCTCCAGTACGCGTGCAAGTCCATCTCGCGGCGCAAGATGGTGACCCAGAAGGACATCGACGACGTCCGGCGAGAGATCCTGATGCTGGAGCACCTGTCCGGGCAGCCCAACATCGTGGAGTTCAGGGGCGCGTACGAGGACAAGCAGTATCTGTACCTGGTCATGGAGCTTTGCTCCGGCGGCGAGCTCTTCGACCGGATCATCGCCAAGGGGTTGTACTCGGAACAAGAGGCAGCGAGGATCGGGCGGCAGGTGGTGAACGTGGTGCACGTGTGCCACTTCATGGGGGTGATGCACCGCGACCTCAAGCCCGAGAACTTCCTGCTCGTCAGCAAGCGTGAAGACGCCCCTCTCAAGATTATCGACTTCGGCCTCTCCGTTTTCATCGAACCAGGTCGGTTGGTTCAGTTGTTTTGCTGCATGTTGTTTGGATTAGAACTTTCCTTGCTTAGCTAGAAACACGTACCAAAGGCGCGATCTCACAGACTCACCCATCAGTCCATGCGCACCACCCACGTCTGGAGGCTAGTTACTCACCTACTGTAAGCTTTCTTCATCGTAATTACTAGCACAAGGAAGGCATAACTAACAACTGCCTCGTTCTTTCCATCATCTTGTGAACTACACAAGTAGAAGAACGGACGCCATGAAAACCTTGCTGTTCTTGATGCTTTAGCTTGCTGTTTTGTTTGTGGGGGGTGAGGGATTAGATTGGCGTCCAAGTTTACATCTCGTCGACGTTGGAGTCATTTGTTTGGCACTTTTCCCTTTCTTGCTCGTGATTTAGTAGGCATGTTTGGTGATTCTTGTCTTGTTGGTTGCTCCGAAATACGTGGAATCGTTTTCCTTCATCGGTCTGCACACGCTTTAATCTTTTGTCTCCTTCAAGCCTCCAATTTTTCCCAAGTTTTTCCTGGAATCTGTTTTGAGCTGCAAAAACGAATGATGTCTGAAGAGATGTGTGATTGACTACATTCTTGCCTTTTGGGTATTCGGAGGTTCGGAGGTTGCGTTTTCTTCACGGGTTCCTGTGGCGAATTAGAATTTTGCCGTAAAGGAGAATGACGAGGGAATCCATGTCATCGCGGATTGTGAAATTTGGAAGCTCCGATGATGCTTTGGATATGGGATTTTTTCTCCTTCTTCTTCTTCTCTTTTTCGGGTGAGTGATGATGATATTTCGGGTCGGGGTCAACGTTCGGGTCAAGGGAGAAAGGGACAGGTCAACTGGCGTCAACCATTGTCAATAATTGAATCGAGAAAAGCTACTAAGACAAAAGAGGGGGAGACAAAATGTCAAAAATAAACGGGGGGCTCCCGTGAAAAATTTTCGATCAAGTGACCCCACTTTCGTCGACGCACGATGCTACGTGGGACTCACGGGATCGAAAGACCGAAAGTGAATCTACATTTGTCGAGTGCTCGTGAAACTTGCACTATGACCCCGTAGCCTTGTCCCCGAAATTCGGCAAATGTGCCGACGGGAGAACATGCTCCGGCGGGGCCATTACAAGGTGGGTTTTGGAGAGTACCATGATTATTCACAGTTCAAACTTTGAATAATCAACCAGGCCCGTTCCGAAGATAATAGGTTGTGTTCTCCGTTCATGAAACTTAGGACTGGTTGAAACCGGTCCGTTGTTGGCTAACCAAGCGGGCTTCGGATACAGCAGAGAAATCGGTCCACTAAAAGCTGCAATTAAATCTCATTGTTTGGTTGCTTAACAAGCATTTAAAGGCGCTATTTGAAATTCATTTTTTTCATTCTATATGGAAGTGAAAAATCGCATGAATGAAATTTCACATCTTATGTTTATTGAAATCTTTATTTTGGATCGAAAATACCCCTGTTGCTCCCTAAATTCACGAGTTCTGCAGCTTAATTTCCTCTCTGCCTTCCTCTTTTTTATTGGGATGCCATTGCTTCTCACTCTTCATATTCTCTTCGAAAAGCTCTGATGCTATGATGTGCTTTTATATACCAGTTTAATGAAATTTTACTTGCGTCCATTTCTCTTTCTAGCTTAATTTGTGTAGGAAATTTTGTCTATTTTCGATGAGTAACTTCTAAATTTATTAAATTCATGTACATTTTATTCCACAGAGTCTGTTTCTGTTTCTGTCTTATCATATTGTTGCCTAGAATTGCAGACCCAGCGAAGTTCCTGTGTTCTAGGAAGTTTTCCAACAGTTAGCGTGCAGGTTTTAGGTTCTTAGAAGATTTGCAGCACGTAGATCGCGAATGATGCTTGTTGAGCTACTACATCAGACCATGTCATAGGTTTTGTATCACCATGTGTGGCATCTGCACATCCTAAAATCATGTCTGCATTAACCTGGGAAAAGGAAGGAGTTTTGCGGTCTAATGTCGCTGTTGTTCTAGTACACCCTGCGAAGGACTAGCTGCTCAGTGTCTGACTCGCTTATTTTCCTTGCAACTTCTTCTTCCGGCAATGTAATTAGTGAATCTTAATGAGTAATTTGAGCTATCGTTGGCAGGGAAGGTGTACAGGGACATCGTGGGAAGTGCGTACTATGTTGCGCCGGAGGTGTTGAATCGAAACTACGGGAAGGAAATCGACGTCTGGAGCGCAGGCATCATCTTATACATCCTTCTTGGCGGTTCACCTCCCTTCTGGGCAGGTATGCCTTTGCTTGTACAACAGTTGTTCGCTATTGACTATTTTGTCAATCATTTTTGAGAAAACAGAATTGTTTGTTCCGTTGGACATCGATCCCGATTTCTCGAGGATCAACTCTTACTGGACTAGTATCTCCCGATTTTACTGTGAATCTGTAACATTTTTCTCCCCCTCAGAGAACGAGAAGGGCATATTTGAATCGATTATGGAAGGCAAGCTGGATCTAGAAAGCGCTCCGTGGCCATCCATTTCCGCTTCCGCGAAGGATCTCATCTTGAAAATGTTGATGAGGGATCCTAAGAAAAGGATCACCGCTGCGGATGCCCTTGGTAAGTGCTCCTTTTTCTAGTGAAATCCGGTGGTTTCATATCAAAATCAACCAATTCCGAAGGAGTTCATGAAATGACATTCTTTGATCAAGTCGGTCCACATTACTGTATTGATAGGATAACGAATTAGATCATAGTTTAATTGAAAAATCTGAACCACAAGTCAGGAAAAGTGAGGAACGTCTTCCTGGTCAAATCACCCTTTTGTTCATCAAAATGTGTACTTGATAGCGCACAAAGATGTATTGCCGAGCTTTTTCAGTAGATCCAGACTGTCAATTCTGATTTAGGTAAAAAAACCTGAAAATCATTAAAAGAACACTGACATATTGTTTGCGCACAATGTATGGACAGAACATCCTTGGCTTCGGGAAGATGGGGTAGCATCTGATAAACCTATTGACAATGCTGTCTTGCGGAGGATGAGGCAATTTAGAGCGTCGAACAAGCTGAAGAAACTTGCTCTGAAGGTATTGTTTTTTTACTAATCTACGGATATTTTCCTCGCATAATTGGACATCAGGTTCCAGAAATAAATTAGGCAGTCTAGCTTTGTACACTTCTTGAACAATTATCATCTCAGTTTTACTTGATTTCATAGCTCTTATCAGCAGTCTCTGTCTCTGTTATATGTTTTTGGCGACAAAGAATGCTATCCTATGTTCTTGAATTGTACTTGAAGAGCTGCTTCAAAGTTGCACTTTTCTTACCGGAATTGTTATTGAGTGAAGGTAATTGCGCAAAACCTCTCGGAAGAAGAAATCAAGGGCTTGAGACAAATGTTCAATAACATGGACACCGACAGAAGTGGTACGATCACATTCGAAGAATTTAGAACCGGATTGTCTAGGTTGGGATCAAAGCTCACTGAACCAGAAATAAGGCAGCTAATGGATGCTGTAAGCACAATCAATTGTTTGAACTCTCTTTTACTTCTTCTCTATGGAACACTCCAGTATAGTATAGGAGCTTTTCTCTTTGGGAAGTCACTCTGAAAATGCATTTCTTCTAACAGGCCGATGTCGATAAGAATGGGACTATCGATTACACCGAATTCATCACTGCCACGATTAACCGCCACAGGCTTGAGAAGGAAGATAATCTGTTAAAGGCTTTCCAATACTTCGATAAAGACAGCAGCGGGTTAGTGTCACTTTCACCTTGTTTCTACTAGACTCCAATGTGTTACACCTCGAGAATAATGAGAATTACCTTATTCGGAGCACGTTTCGTGACTGCTGTTTTTGAGAGAGATTAAGGTCTGCAAACACAATTGAGGGGCCGATGTATCTCAGAACTCCAAAACCTCTGAAATCAAGAACATATCATGCTCAGTGTTGTTAGTGTTCAAAGCTTTTGTATTTGCTTGTTTTCTTGACCTGCATTACGGCTTGCTTAATATTCTGTAGGTTTATCACGAGAGACGAGCTGAGACACGCTATGGCACAATACGGAATGGGGGACGAAGACACCATAGACGAGATCATCGAGGATGTCGACACCGACAAAGTATCGAATCTTTCCTCGAGTCTTAAACTCTGATTTCTCGATCCCCATATCCCCAAACTGACTCGGGTTCATTATGATCCCGCCTATGTGATGCAGGATGGGAATATCAACTATGAGGAGTTTGTGGCCATGATGAGAAGAGGAACTCAAGATCATAATGGAAACGGGAGTTAGGAAGAAAGGTAGATGAATGATTATTTGCTCTCCTCTTGTACATTCATCTCCATAATAAGCCTGGACAATTCCCGAATTATTCTGTTGAATAAGATTGCTGATCATCGGAGAATTTGAATGTCGAATAAATATATTCCCTTCTGCATTCTTTTTGTGTGATATATATAATTTTCCTTTTGACAAGTTAAAGGGCTAACGATCCCTTTAAACATTACTATAAGGGTCGCACATCCACTATAAAATATTCGGATTGAGTCGTAATTACTTCATACTACTCGCCCCTTGAAAATCTAATAAGCCAGTTATCGAAGCTACACCAAGATACCGGCAATCGGGAAATCTCTCTAGTGAGAGAGATGCCACAGCTATAACAATTCCAAGATTCGCCCGCAGCCTGAATCGAACCCGTGATCTCTTGAAAAGCAAAACAACCATTTCGTCCACCAATTGTCCTGGTGGCCTAGAATGTATCCCGACATTTTATAGAGGAAATGGAGAAGATCTCCTCGTGCTCAAAAGGGTCGAGCGCACGTGTAATAATGGACTTAAATAGCCCATTCTTTTGTTGATAGAGCCCAGCCCATTAATTCACTCTTATCTTCAAAGGGTTGAAGAAGCAAGACCCACGGTGACCAAAAACAAGAAGAAAAGAAGAGGATGCACGCACTGAAGAAGAAAAGGGGAAAGAGGAAAATTTTCGTGCATTTACAATCCGGACGACTCGACAAACCGAATCAATGCTGTTTTGCAACGTCGGGTAAGTAATCAAGGTCTCTATTCGTCTAATCATAGTGATTTCGGAAATTAGGGCACAAATTTGAAGGAATATTGATTTTGAATTACGAGGCTCGATTGAGGAGTTATTAAGCTACGATTTTGTGTAAAATGATGGTTTATGGTGTTGTAGAGCGGTGAGGTTTGTCGAGTAACTATTTCGAAGTATGGTTTGTCCAGGACGAATTTCGAAGATTTCTTGTTCGAGTTACGCGTATCAGATAATATGGGTAACGGAGAAAAGTAAACATATGCTATAACCGAGTTTATTCGTTAGCGTTAAGAGTCGTTTTATCGACAAATAAGTGTAGTTCAATCGAGTAGTTAGTTAAAAGTAAATGTTACTCAGTTTTTTATACCGTATTTCGGTTAATTGTTAGGAATTCGAGTGCGTCAGCTCGAGTAGCCATCATCGGTTGGTTTTTGGCTTTTCTCAGGTGAGTGGTACTATTTTTTCTACAAATTTACAAGCTCATGTTTTGAAAATGATAATGTTATAATATAGTAAAAGTTATTAAGAGCATATTTTCTGCATAAATGGGATCGAACTTTTACTATCTTTTAGTCGATTGACAATGTATTGGAAAGTCTTACAAAGTAACTTGAAATGAGTATTTGTGAATGTTTGCTTAAATGTTTTGTGAAAGGAATTACCAAAAGCTGTTTGTATTGGATGCGAAATGTTTTATGACATGGATTCTATTTGATGATAGAAAATGATTATGTGATTCGGTTTGTAAAACCGGTTTATGAAATGACTTTCTGATGTTAATTGTGAGTTGTCGGAGAAAGATTTTGGTTGTTATGGCTCATATTGCTATGATAAAAACCCATTGAGGGGGAGTATGCATATGTCAGGACGTCATTCTAGGCTGAATCATCGGCTGATATAGGTGGTAGACCTAGCCAATGGGAGGTAAACTTGGCCGCCTTTGTCACGGCGTTAAACGTGACCATAGTTTGATAGTGAGCATTAGATCAGTTGATGGAGTGGACCATCGATGTGTGATTTAATGAGATTAGTCAATGGATAGACCATTAATAGTTGTTGTTGTTGAATAGGTTTTATTGACTAATCTTGTACGTTACAAAGTTTTGTTGAAAAGCTATCATATATTTTTGATATTTTAATATTGAAATTATAACGAGGAGTTATGATGTCATTTTATAGCGTTGTATAGTGATTGTTCAATCCGCTTAGAAGAAATTAGGGGTGAGCATGGTTCGAGTGGGTGGTTCTCACCCTAGAACCAGGAACCGCCCACTAAGTATCGGTTCCACAAAATGGGAACCGGGAACCACCCGTTGATTCAATGGACCCACCCGGGAACCGGACCGGCGGTCCGGTCCGGTTTCCAGGTGAGTCCATGGAACCGGTCTTACTAGGGAAATTTGTAAGCATGTGCTAATTCAAGATTGATTTTGGGGATGGTTCGTGCTTGGCATTTTAACAAACACCTTTCATACATTTCTCGTTAGCAATATGAACAACATGACTAGGGCACCGACGAGGTTGTATGCCTCTTAATTAAATCAAAACATGAAATTTCTCCAGCAAGAAAGAATGCTGCAAAAACTTGTTAATTCAAGCATCTCTACCAGATTCCACACAAACGAAAACATGAAAATTCACAAAAAAAAGAGGAAAAAAGCTAGACATAAACAGAGATGTTCTTCAAGCAATCCACGAGCAACAACTACAAGCACCGTAAGCGAGCGAGGTGGAGGAGAGTCACGACGAGCGTCATGAGCGGCGAGCTTGTGAGTCTGAGTGAGAGGGAGGCGAGGCTGACTGTGAGAGAGGGTCGGAGGAGAGCCCGCGACTGTGAGAGGCGAGGCGACAACAGACAGATAGCGAGATGAGCAACAGAGGAGGTGGAGCGACTAGGTTTTCTTTAAAAGGTGAGAGAGAGATCGAGTAAAGGGTTTATTTCTATTTTAAATTATAGCCTGTATATATATATATATATATATATATATATATATATATATATATACCGGTTTGATCCGAGCGGGCGGGCGGGCGGTTCCACGCTTGGAACCGAGAACCGAATCGGTACTCATCGGTTCTAGTAATTTGGAACCGGGAACCGGATCGATCCACATGGGAACCACCGGTTCTGGGCCGATCCGGTCTGGTTTCAGGCGATCCGGACGGTTCCTGATTTTTTTGCACATCCCTAGAAGAAATGTATTACTCACTGAACCGTAATAACTTACTCATTTCATCTTACTTACTTTTCAGGTTCTTCAGCAAGTCACAAGTAGGACGTGAGCGTATCGTTCTTAGGAGGACTTTTGGTAGTGGGAATTTTTGGTATGAGATATCTATAGTTAATGAGCTTCTAAGTTAGTTGTGGTGGATATGTATATATCTTTTTGATGGATTATAGTGAAATTTGATATTGTAACTAGATGAACTTTTTATCACATATATATGGATGTATATATTTGATATTAAGTTGAGTTTTGATTTTGTTGAGGGTGCGTCCTTGCGTGATAGGACGGCCATGTTACGCCTTTGCTCTTTTGAGCTGGGGGTGTGACAGCACGTGTATCAAGTGGGGGGAAAGAAGAATCTCCTGCTAAAACCCTAGATCATTATGCACGTGCAAAGACAGATAAAAGAAAGACAAGCGAGTGGCCCGCGGGTAGTTTCCGAAAGCCTTGAAACTTCATCTTCTCCGTGTCATGTGCTTAGCCTCCTGTACACTCAGCCAATATTCAAGATTTAACCTTCCTCAAAGTCAAGGAACCAGAAAGCAAAACGAAACCGGACAAGCGCGTCGTCACGTACTTCCAAGAATATGTTCCAACTGGTTGATCAAATCATAATACATTGAGGCTGATGCTACGTGAGCTTTGACTCGAATTACAGTGTGTATAAGTATGAAGACAAGAACATGCATCAACCCAACTGTTTTTAATTAAATCTGCTGGCGGAGGTAGGCCCTGCTGCCTCCTTTGGCTTTGACCATTTACTCGTTTGGACATTTGATGTGGTCAATAAACAGATCCTGACGTTGCTTGTCATCTACTACGACGCTTCCTTCTAAGCTTCATGCTATTATATATATATATGACTCGGTAGAACGAGAGGCATTACATTCAAAGAAGAGCAGCTCAACGTTTGCGAAAAATGGAGAAATCACAAGCCAAGCCGAAGAGCAAGAAGGTGTTGAAGTTCTTGCCGAGAACAGTTTCGTCCATCAGCTTCTTCCAAAACCCTCCTTTTAGCCCTGGTAGAGACAAGAGATCATCTTCTTCGTCATGGTATTCATCAGAGCTCATCAACAGCACAAAGTGCAGGCTCAGATCCCATGTCGGTAAAGGTTTCTCCGGTCCACTCATATCCCTAATTCCTTACGAAGCTCGAACCAAGAACAATAATGATCGAGATTTCGACGAGAACGAACCCACATCGCCGAAAGTCTCGTGCATGGGCCAGATCAAGCACAAAAACAAGACCAAGAAATCGTGGCCGTCGTCAGCTGATAAACGTTCTTCCTTTTCCTCATCTGCGTCTTCTTCATTTTCCAAGTTGAACCGGGATGCCGATAAGCCTCCGAGACCGAGTAATTCTCATGAGCTGAAGAAGCAGAGCTCAACGTTAAAGAGAATATTCAGCAGAGCTAGAGGAGGCAACAAGAAGAAACCGTCTGATGCGTCGGGAAATAATTGCCGGAAGCCACCGTTGCTTCCCGATAGAGCCCCGTCCTTGAGTCAGATGAAACGGTTTGCGAGCGGGAGGGACGCGATGGCAAGCTTCGACTGGTCGGCTGAGGTCGGGCCGGTGTTGGAAGCCGACCACCGGGACTACTATCACTACTACTCGGATGAAGAGCGGAGAGAGAGTGATCAAGAAGAGGAGGATGAGAAAGTGATCGTTCCTTTCTCCGCACCAATTCCGATTGGTGGCGGCCGCGGCGGGGTGAATCCGCAACCGAGGAAAGAGATCAACCTGTGGAAGAGAAGGACCATGGCTCCTCCTAGGCCTCTCGAATTGCACCAACCCGCCATGGTTAGAGCAAATTGAAATTGGATTATCCAAGTTTCATTAGTTCTTTCTCTCGGCTCTGTAATTTTCTGCTCCTGCCAATTCTTTTCTTTCTTTCGAATTCTTTTGTGTAATTCTTGTGTTAAATTGCTTTGCTGGTGCACAAAAAAATCTGTATGTGGTGATATAGCCAGTAGGAATGTGCATAGATGACCATATTACATATCTGCAAACGATGTCAATCTTCTGCTATTACATATTGGAAATTTGCTCATCTGAAACGGCGTCAACTCGAAACAAGGCGGCGAAGTCGTGTACCGAAGGGTGTGGCACAATTTCTCCGCACGTTCCGGTGATCTGGGTATATCCTTATTCGTGTTCTTGAATGATCAACTCGTCTTCGGATGCGTGTTTCACATTCATCTCATTCACATGGGTAGGTCAGCGATGTCGATAAGATTGTGCAAGATTTTTTCCCCTGACAATGAAGCAGCAGCCACATGGAATTTTCTAATAAATGTATAGTCTGTAGATGAGTGAAAAGTCTGTTTCAGTCCACTATTCCTTGATTGACAATCCTCACCATCCATTTATTACAATCCAATAATGGGAGAAAATGGGAACCAGCAATCGCTATCTTAGCCAGCTTAGCTACCAAAGGAAAATGACTCGTTCAAGAAACCCCTTTTCAAATTAACCCTCGATTTGCTTTTTATTGTTCGATTGCAATACTTTTATTTCAATTTAACCCTCTGCACGAAAGGAAAAACGATTTGAAACTCGCGCGAGGGACACCCGCGGTTTTCTGACAAGACCCGATGATGTTTGTCGGTATGGTCTATAAAACCATGTAATAACTTCTCAGCCCTACCAAACCAGCTTGCTTCTACATTATCCATCTGCTCGACATCCATGTCAAACATGCTCTAGATTTCAAGAAACCTACGCATTTTCATACTCTGAAATCATTTAGAATGATCTCAGTTCTCCCTAATTCATCGGGGAATCAAGAGAAAGTCTCTTGAAAAGATTTTGGGTCCTTCGGGAAATAAACTTCTATATACTCCAGAATTAAATCAATAACGGGAATTAGCAGGTAAGTTAAAATATGAGGAAGTTTTGACCTCATTTACTGACTTTTCATGTAGCTTTCTGGGAAGGAAACGGTCTTCATACAATTAAAATCACAACTCTTCGGTCACCTTCGACACGGCTTCCGCAGCACAGAAGCAAAAGAGAAGAAGATGATTGAAGAGAGGGGAATCACGACAAACTCTTATTTCAATCTCGTAAAAGTCACGGGCTCAAGGCCGAAGAATACAAATTCAATATGTTCTCGTCCTCTCTAAAAACAACAGCATACAAGGCAAAGAAAGCATAGCGAGAGAAGCAGTATACACCGTTGGCCATCGTATTTTTGTCTTATTTCACTACGTTATCATCAGATCAATCAAAATTCCAATTCTCCAGCTATCTATGCACATTTCCGGCGGACTTTATAGTACAAGAGTTCACTCTTCTAAAAGATGGAAAAACCAATTTCTCATGAGATACGGTGGTTAGAATAACAAAGAAGCTTATCGAATATGGGTATAACAAGGCGTTTAGTCAGCATGGTAAGTGGTCATTGGGTACAGCATCTGTACTCTAGCAGGACAACAATATTTCCCATAACATGCTCTGTCTTCCTATTCCTGCCATATGAAACCGAATGTAAGGTTGAAGTGTGACAAACAACAAGAAGCGAAAACAGAAATATGCACTGCTTAGTGCTCATACAAGAAGCACGAGAGCTGCTGATGAGTTTTTGGAATTTTTACATATCACTTGGGTGAAGTAGAACATTATGTGCATTTTGCATGCTTCAAGTAATTCAGATAATCACAATATCTCTGTACCATGAGATTGGCAAAAGCATGGCATTCTGGGATAACTGCACATCGACATACATAAAACCTCAGACAGACAACAGAGAAACCCCACATAAAAACAGTCTACCAGCAAATACATGGATATTAAAGTCACAACCCGAGTATGAGAAACTAGTTTCGGCATCGAAAGGTACCTAAGTACGCGGCGACTTAGACCTTATACTCACGCAGATGCATCCACTTTGTAGATGACCACTTGTTTCCAATAACCACAGGGCAACCACCTAAGAAAATGAGATATGATCAGATGACGGAAAACAACCTCACTATGAAACATTTAACCAAAAACGAATAGCAAGACCAAAGCCACCAAAGAAGCGCCATGTTGTTCTCCTTCCTTAATTAGGGACAAGTGCAGGAATGAATGTTGTCTGAGATCTAAAGTCTGCAGGAGATCAAGCAATTACTAACCATGTAAACTTGAAGGATCGAGTGTGGCGTCAGGCCTCATGCTCCAAAACAGTAATGCATCGCCCATCCTTGGCTTCACAGACAAACCCTGCTTACCACATTCAGATAATTGATCCCACCAAGGAACCGCACTGAAATTTCCTTTGGCAGCAGGAAAAACTGTCTCACCCCCTTCTTCAACATCCGACCTATATAAGTAGTAATAATACAACTGAATTGCAGCACCAGGAACAAAAACAATCTTAAGCAAAACCCAAAGTCAATGGGTTTAAGAGGAAAAAGAAAAGCTCAGTGCATGAAGCCAAGGAAAGCTCTTACAGATACATCAGTAGCGTAGCTATTCGTTGACCGCCATTCTTGGTGTTAAACTCATCAAGGAAGTAATCATAATGAGCATCGTACTTTTGTCCAACTTCATAGTGGAGAATTTGAAGACCTTCTCCATGCTCTGAATTTGTTTCGGAAATAAGCAACATCATGTTATCCCCATGGTCAGTAATAATCATCCAAAAATTTTGATGGGGCAAAGAAACAATATGAGCAGTATATTTTCAAGAATTATATCTTATAATTCCTACAGCTCAATGTGAAGGCACGGAGAAGGAAAGGGAGGGGGGGAGGGGGTCCGCCTCGTGCGAAAGGGTAACGAGCTACCGGAAAGAATTCGCCATTTCAAATTAGTAAACAACTGTGGCCTAGGTTAAGTTACTCGGATAGATGCTCTCGTTCTACAATTTAAAGGTTTATGGCAAAATATTGACTGAACCATTTAGGACTCGGGGATCACACATTTATTTTAATTCTCAACGTGCTGCTGTATAATTGAACCATTAGGAAAATATAATGCATAGTATTTATCCTACCTACAGGAATGAAGGTGAAATCTGCTATTCTTTTTTCTATGTCCCTGATGATTTTATCTCGTCCCCTCAGCAGAAATGTTCCAGAACTTGTGCGGACCCTGCAGCCACATGATGTTTTAAACATATTATCCTATTTCTTCACGAAGAAAGAGTGTGTACGTTATCAATAAAGGACTGATGTGACTAGCCAGTAGCCACACAGATTGAAAGTTCAAAAGGGGCTGCAAATCCAAACCTGCTGTCTTTACTCTTTCCAGTTGCACTATCAACCACAGTTGACTTCGCCATATGAGGTTTAGCGAGATTTATCAGATATTCACATTCCTCTTTGGACTGCATAAGTATGATTTGTATTGCATTTATTCAACTTGACAAACAAATCAAATATATTATTCATCACGTGACAAAATTCGTCCATTCATATTAACAAATCCAAAATACTAAATGGATCAGAGAAATATGTGAAAAGCTACTTAAATGGCCCAGACAAGAAGCACCCTTCCGGTTGCCATTCAAAGGTACGTCATTCGAGATCTAACCAATGAACCAAGAAACTTGAATCAAATTGCTTCCTGATGCGAAAGCTCGTGCACATTGTCAAATAAGAGATTTGGTTTTGCCCAAAATGAGAGATTAATACAAAAAGTTGTCTCCTACTTTGTTTTAGTGAACTGATACAATGTTGTGAACTATTATTAGTGTAAAAAACTAGAGGAAAAGACCAGAATCCCTGAATTGTTCATCAGCAAGAGACCGCAGCATGACTACACAACTAAAATATTCATCCACATGCAGCAAACACTTTACTACATAGTCTACGCCATCGGGAGCACCTACATCCTCCCAGATTAGAGATCGAAACAGCAAGCCCGATCAATAAAATCCTAACAACAGTCTTTCTTCTTTACTTAAGCCATCGATCTTGTATTAACAACAGACTCTTCCAATTGCATCCCTTACACTTACCCAAATACGAAAATGCCATATAACCCCCAAAAACGAAAAAGCAGAGCCACGCGAAAAATGGTACAACTAGGCATCTCCCTAACCAAGAAGCGCTAGCCAATTGATCGTTCGCAATATCATCAATAGACTCGAATCCAACAACATCTCAATTACTAATTGCTTAAACTCCATAATAATCAAACCAAATGAACACCAAAAACAAGCAGCGACAGAACATCATCCGCGCGAAAAATAGAGACACTGACCAGGAAACCATGATATATGAAAGCTCTGGGCTCCCACGACAGCACTTCAGTCCACTGCTCCCCTCTCTGCCCCAATCCATCCCCTCTGAAACAATCAAACCGACAACGAAAACAAGTCACCCCCACAGAAACGATCCAGCTTCAATTACCAACAATTACGCATCAAAATTTATTCCCACCGCGCGCACATCGCGCACTACCTCTCGAAAGCCTGGCGCCTGAAGGGGCTCCAGCCGCTCGCCGGGGGATCGCCGTCGCCGATCGGGAGGGACACAATGCCGAGGGCCAGGAGGAGGAGGAGGACGACGGACAGCGCGAGGAGCATCCCGAGGACGAGCGCGAGCGTGGATCGCTTGCCGTGCGACCGGGGGGCGTGCCTCGAGGACCTCGCCATCTTCGGGGCGGACGACCGGAACCCTAGCTTCCGCTCGACGGAGACCAGCAGCGATCGGAGGAAGAAGGTGAACGATTTCGGCGCCTGGAACTCCGATTCCATGCTCCCTCCTCCTCCCTGCCTGCCTGCGCCGGTAAAAATACTGCGACGCCGAGCACGAATTTTTCTCGAACTGATTTTTTCTTTTTCTTTTTTGGGTCTTTATTTCTGTTTTTCGAAATTTCCAATTCAACCGTGACAAGTGACCGTTGAAATAGGCGCCGTTCCGGGCCGGGGGATTCGCCCGGTGGACCGACGCCTGCGAAATCCCAATACCGTCCCTGGGGTTAGCGCCCTATTTACGGAGCCGAGGACGGGGTTGGGTGGGATGGACGGGAGGGCGTGTTCGTCAAATCGCTGCGCCCCTGGTTTTAAGCGATGGTGGGTTGTGGCGGCGGCGGCACCAGGTTTTGACTTTTTTGAGGGGGGGAGGCCCGTTGACGATTCGTAGGTGGCGGCTGGGGAAGCATTCGAATTTAATACGGAGGAAGAAGCGCTTTAGGACATGTTTAGTTAGGGGTGTCGAAAACCCAATCGAAAATCGAATCGAAATCGAAATCAAACTGAACCGAAATAGAAAAATTAGTGTTTCCGATTTTGGTTCGGTTTCGGTTCGGATTATAAATAAAAAAAAATTGATTTGTTCATGATTCGGTTTCTGTTCGAATCGGATCGGATTCGATTTCGTTTTCCTTTTTCGTCCCTTCTCGTGCACTCTCTCTTCTCTCACCCAATTTTGTCTCTCTTTCCCTTTTCTGATCTATTCTCTCTCTTCTCACTCACTTTTCTCTCTCTCTCTTCCTCTATCTTCGCAACTCTCCTCTCTCTCTCTCTCTTCTCTCTTCTCTCTCTCTCCCGCTCTTCTCCCATGGCTAGCTCGAGCGCGTTGCTCACTCTGGCCACAATGGCGGTCCTCCTCGTCGGCTTGGCGGTGGCACCGTCGCCAACCCACACCCCGTCCAAGTCGCCCTCGCCCTCGCCCAAGGAGTCCCCGTAGCCTTCCCCGACCGCGGCAACCACCCCGCCGGCTTCCGCCCCGTCTCCCCACGATCCCGCCGCCTCCCCCCGTGGCCCCCTTCCCCGCCGCCGTCTCCCATGTCCGAGGCACCCGTGACAAGATTGATGTTGCTGGCGGGACAAAACGGGAGGATGTTGGAGCCGACCCACCAAGCGGCCGCGCTGGGATCGGAGGCCAGCGACGGTATGTCGCCGTTGGCCGCCCCCGATCACGATCCCGACGCCGGTGTCCGCCAGCGCCTGATCGGCACCGTATAGCCTGACCTCCCCGATCGTCGTCAACCCCAGGAGCCTCGCCGTGGACTCCGAATCTGGACTCGATGAGCGAGAAGCTCCGACGCCCATTTCTCGCAAGACTCGACTCACTCGATAAATCGGACGAGATTCAGCTCAAAAGCTGCAAATTTCGCTACTCAACTAGTGAAGAATCTACCCAGAGAGAGAGAGAGAGGGGAATTGAACATTGGACAGATCGTCACGGAGGAAGCGGAAGCGCAGAAAAAATGCAAAAGCGGAAAATCGAAAACCGAACTGAACCGATCCGAACCGAACTGCATTTTTCGGTTCGGATCAAATTGGTTCGTGTCACCTTTCGGTTCGGAGCAAGCACACATCTAAATGGTTCGGTTCGGTTCGATTTTCCTAAAAATCCGAACTGAACCAAACCATTAACACCCCTATGTTTAGTAACGTTTCTATTTCTTAATTTTTCTATTTTTTTGTTTCTCGGGACAAAAAAGAACAGAAATTCGTTTAGTAACGTCAGTTAATTTTTTTGTTCCCCATAACAGAAAAGTGATCAGGGAATAGATTTAGAACAGAAATAAAAAGTAAAAAAAAAATACTTTTTTATTTCTGAAATAAAAAAAAGAAATAATAGAGAAACAATATCAGCTCACCCTCTTTCACGAGATATTCTCATACTAAACCCTAAAACCCTAAATCCTAAACCTTAACCCTCAAACCCTAAATCCCAAAACCTCAAACCTCAATACCCAAACCCTATAATCCATAACACTAAAATGAAAAACCCGAAACCCTAAACTCTAATAACCCAAAACCTTAAATCCTAAACCCTAAAATCGTAATTCCAAACCATAAATCATAAAACCTTAAACCGCAAAATCTCGAATCCTAAACCATAAACCCCAAACCCTATACCCTAAATCCCAATACCCAACACCCGAATCCCTAAATCCTAAACAACTCAACCCGAAACCCAAACCCCAAATCCGAAACTCTAAAACCTAAACCCCAAACCCTAAATCATAAAATCCAAAATCTAAAACCCCAAACCCTAAACCTCAAAATCGAAATCCTACAACTCGAACCCCTAATCCCAAATCCTACACTCTAAACTGCAATTACCTTGACCACCACCCAATATTTGATTTTTTTTATAAGAAGTAATTTTCTTTATGATTGTATTAAAGTCGTCCAATTCTGTATCATAATATATTATTATTCTATTTCTAGTCCAATTTTATCCAAATATGAATTGTTAAGTCCCCTAAATTGCAATTTCCTCGATCACCACCCGGTATTTGCTTTGTCTATAAGGAGTAATTTTCTTTATGATTGTATTAAGGTCATCCAATTCTATATCATAATATATTTTAATTCTATTTCTAGTCCAATTTTATTCAAACATGAATTGTTAAATCTCCACCGACAATTTTATAATTAAATGAAAAAATTGAGAGTAGAAATTTTTAGTGTCCTATCAAACGCATTTCTGTTCTTTTTCTACTTCGGGAGTAGAAATTTTGTACAATTACTAAATGCATTTTTTTGCTCAGAAACTCGTCTAGGGAATAAAAATAGAAAAAATTATTTCTGAACAGAAATTATTTTTAGGAACAGAATCGTTACTAAACAGACCCTTAGAATCCGATTGACTATGCTTCGTAAATGCAAAGTTCCTATTTCATAATAAATGGTTTTCTCATAGTGTACTGGCTTTAGGGTTATTTAGGGAAAAGAAATCGATTAGAGAAATTATGTGTTAGGCAATTTTTTCGTATTATGTGCAACTAATATTTGAGAATTAAATCGTATCAGATTAAATAAGCTTAACAAGTGCTCTGGATGCCGAGCACACCTGGCCCTAGCAAATTCGCACATTATTGATGCGCGCGTCTTCTCTCCTAAAAAGAACGTAGAAAACTATATCTTTTGCATTCCACGTTCTTGTGTACATCAACTGTTCAAGGTGCCATATCAACACCACCTTCTAGATACTATTGAAGCTCGAATTCTCTGTCTATTTGGGTCGATCATTCGCGAGTTTTCTTATTTTTTCCCACGTGATGATTGACTTGGATAGAAAAAAAAAAAAGATTGGAGCTTCGTGCTTCAAAAAAACCTAACTATGTCTTCGTACAATTAAGCTGTAGATTTGATCCGTCTTGGATCAAGATTTTGAATGGTTCTTAGACCAACCATTGCAGGTTGTTGGTGCATCCATCGCTCAAAATCTCACTTGGATTTTAAGTGCAACTGCGCAGCGGAACTGCGGGTGGCCTCCATAATCCACCTGATTAATCAAACAACGGTTTTTCAAAATGGCTGGTGTGCATACTCGGGAATGATGTATGATCATCTAACTTCTTCTTTTTTCACCCCGTCGGGTGAATATTGAAGAAGCCGGTGATCACGAAGCACCGATGAATATAACAAGAGGGATGATGTTAATGGGTGCCCCTTCGAACACTTGCTAAAATTTACAAAGTTCGATTTTCTACGCATCATGAAATCCTCCCATCAATGACATAATATCAGCAATTCATCGAAAGATTGGACCAAATTTCAGTCAAAATGCTAACAAACTAGAGTGCACGATTCATTCATAAGGGATTCGGTCACGAAGACCGCTTGCTACTAATTCAGAAGCTCGTTCAGTAAATTCCACAAACACATGAGCTGCATCCTCTTTCTCCAGTCTTTCTCCGACAACATCACAAGATCATGTCGTTCAAGTAGAGAGACAGCACGGCATCTGATCACCTTCTTCATCATGTTTCGGCTAAAGGGTAAAAGAAAAGACGAGAAAAAAACTTGACGGCTTCATAATTTGCACAGCATTCACCATCCGATCAGCAAACCCACGCGACATCACTGTCCACCCGCACGATGCTTCTCCACCTGCTGCTCGGCCTGCTTCTTCTCCGCCGCGAGCCTCTCGATCTTCCGCCTCTGCCCCTCGGCGACCTTCTCGAGCGCGGCGTGCACCGCCTCGCCGGCGCCGTCCAGCAGCCGGCCCACGACCTCGGGGTCCTTCTCGAGCCGCGCCGCCTCGAACTCCCTCCGCGCCTGCTCCCGCAGCACGTCCCTCATCGGGACGCCGCGCGGGTCGGGCCACTGGAAGAACCGGGTCATGCGGAGGATGGACCGGTAGAGGCTCTTCGGCTCTGGCCGCCTGGCGGGGAGCCGCTCCCCCTCGTCGGCGTCGTCGCAGGGGTTGTCGTAGTGTAGGGCGCGGGAGACGGAGGAGGAGGAGGAGGCGGCGGCGCTCCGCCGCGACGCCGCGCTCCGGACGATCGAGAAGCTCCGCCGTATCTGGAGGTGGGCGTTCATCGCTGCTCGTCGCTCCGATCGGCTTGGTGAACGTGGGGGGGAGGAAATTGCGAATGCGAAGGGGAAATAAGGGGGGGGGGGGACTAGGGCTTCTTCATCCTCCTAAGTATGTATGGACTTTTCATTTTTCCTTAGCAAACGACATATATATTAATTATTAAATTCTATAATATAATCTATTATCTTCCTAAAAAGTAAATTAAAAAACCGAAAATATCCAATAAAAAAATAGTTGATAGTTCATTATTTAGATGCCAACCCGCGCATTATGCGAGGTGGCTATAAAAACAATGCAATTTCAGTACTAATTGAATATATCGTATTTTCAATATTAAATAAAAATTTATCGATGTTTCAGATCTATTTGTTGAGTAATTGTCCAAGTTGTACCTGATACAAAGTCAGTGTAGATTTTTTTTTATGCATATTGTGATATTGAATTAATGAAAAGGTAGAAAATAAGTTTTTGATTTTATAGTAAATAAATCACTCAGAGTTAAATATTGACTACATTTACTTTTCTAAACCTTTTCTAAACCACATACTCAACGGTGTTTAGAAATTTCATAAACATTTTAACTCATTTTGTAGAGAAATAAGAGATGGTAAAAGTTACGTAACTGATTCTCCTTTAATTGAAAATACTTTATGGAAGACCGGTTGCTTAGGTGGCATCTAGACGGCAATCTGCTTTACAAAGAATTCAGCAAAAACGATTTTCACAGCAAGGAGAATGCATATCTAGCATTCCAGAATTCCAGGTATCAAATTTTCACGCAACTTTTTGGAAAGAGTTTGTAATGGTAGATTTATATAGATACTAATTACATGTGTTAAATTAGTGGATGAAATGGTACTTTTGAAAAGGTCCCTAAAACAATCTCTTATTCCGTATTGGGATAAATAGAGACGAATATTATGTTATTCACACTAGCTTAGTGATAATATCCATATTGTCGCTTTTGTCGTAAAGTTACTTTTGTTAATATGTTTTTCAATTATAAAAACCTCGACGTATTGATTTTTAAAAGTTATCTGTTATTTATTGTGATATGGTGGCCTTTAAATAAATGTGCGAGCATATTTTTCGTATATCCATATAGAAATATCATACACAAAGAAATCAATATCCTTAAAGGACAAAACTCATCACACCATTTTCTTCTATAATTCAAGGGTATGAATACTGCTGATACCTTGCTACTTGAAGACTCTCGAAACATTTTGCAAGCCCCACAAATCGGTGAATTCCATTTTTTAGTATATGCAGGTGGCTTGACCCAAAACAACTTACTTTGTAAGATTCAAACAAGTGACCTTTAGTTCCTAAATTAAAAACACCTTGGTGCTCGAACCTGCTAGGCCAACCCCGAAGGTTGTTGCACCCCTTCAAGTCGCACCAGAACTCAACCGCTTGCTTTCGAATCTACTCCTAAGCGATCCTATCCCAAATGGGCATTTTTTTTTTTTTTTGCTAAATCGAACCTTCCATTGCATCAGAAAAGTACAATATTACACAGAAGAGTTAGAGCCTACATCAACACGATAAATTAAAGAAGACTCCGCCAACACTAAATTTTTGACTCTAGGTGGGAGATCATTAAAAAAGAAAGAAGAAGCATTTCCTAAATGATAAAAAGCCCATTTTGCAAGCTCATGAGCAACAACATTACTAGATCTGTTGATCCACTTGAAACTCCATTCTGGGTTGTTGCTGAGAAGTAAGCGAGTGTCCGAGACGAAAGGATGAATACATCAAGGACAAATGCATCCCAAATGGGCATATTGTATATGCTTCTAACGTGACATTTTCCCTGTGAATATACACAAGGTACAAATCGAGACAAGCTCTGAATATTATTTATGAATCAAGGTCGATAGCAGTGAGCGTAACGGACTCCTGCGCCTTGAGAGAGACTCTTCTCCGAGAGGGGATTGCCCAACCTCGATCAATACGTTCATAGACGGAGGCTCCATGCTCGTGCTCAAGTGAACATTGACAGCCCTGCACTCTACGCGAACCTGTGCGATGCTAGTAGGTAGTGTGGCACGAGATCTCACTAGAAAAAGTAGCGCGCATACGATGACAATTTTACCGTACGCGCAACTTCTCTATGATTTAGAACTTCATTGAAATCTTCAGATGTTAGCCGGGCCTCGTTAGTAAAACTGTCAAAATAAATGAATGACATTAGGCATATTGCCACCGATCTGCTAAAACGAATTCGATGGTGAATGGCGACCGGGTGATTTGGTCTTTCGAGAGATTTTTCAAAAAAAAAAAAAAAATTTTACTTCCTGTTGCCAATCTCATAGTAGAGTGTACCTCTACCGTATTAAATTTTTTTGAATGGGCAACGTGACGGCCCTTAAGCGAGGAAGAACAAACAATGTAATGCGGGTTTTACAAACCATCCGATGTCCGAACCGCACGGAATCTAATTCAGAAGCTCGTTCAGTAATTTCTACAAACACCTTAGCGTCACTGTCTTTCTCCATCCGCTCGTCTCCCCCGAACCACCTAAATTTTCCGACCAGATCACGATGTCAAGAATTTCAAGCAGAGAGACACGCAGAACTTCATCAAGATTCGCCATTCTTATTGTGCGATTACAATTATGCGGAGAAAGGAAAAGGAAGAAGAAAGAAAGAAAGAAATAGACGGCGTCAAGATTCGTACATCATTCGATCGGCTCGATCACCGCCCGTCCCCGCGGTCCTTCTCGATCTGCTGCCGGTGCTTCTCGGCGAGCTTCTCGAGGGCCGCCTCCACCGCGTCCCTCCCCCCGATCAGCAGCCGCGTCACCACCTCGGGGTCCCGCTCGAGCCGCGCCTCCTCGAACTCCCTCCGCGCGTTCTCCCTCAGCACGTCCCGCCACGGCACGCCGCGCGCGTCGGGCCACGGGAAGAACCGCGTCGCCCGGAGGATGTCCCGGTACAGGCCCAGCGCCTCCCGCCGCGTGCTGGTGAGGCGCCGCCGCGCGAGGAGCTCCTCCTCCTCGTCGCCCAGGGACTTCTTCTCCGTCTTCGCGACGTGCCTGTCCAGGAGCTCTTCAACGGTGTCCGGCCCGTGGTGCAGGGCGCGGGAGACGGAGGCGGCGACGGCAACGGCGCCGCTCGGCGTCGCGGCGCCCCAAAGGATCGATAGATGTCGCCATTGCTGGAGCTTCGCGTTCATCGCTCCGTGCGTCTTTGATCGGTTTGTTGACGAGCTCAATTGCGGTTGTGAAATTGGGATTGGGGATCGGACAAGCCAAATTGGGCTTGGGCCTATATCGGAGCATTTAACGGGCCTGTTGGTCCATCCTAAGCTCGACCCGGTCCAATAGTGGCTATTGTCATTCTTTTTGTTGTTCTGTTATTATTATTTCATGAAAAATAAATGATTTTAAAAATATTAATTTTAAAAATATTTTTTTAAATCACTTTAAATAATTAATCGAAAAAAAATTTCGTTATCGATAATAATTTTTGTGTAAATGTTTTTTTTACGATGAAAATATTTTTTTAAGCGATCATTTTTTGAAAAATATTTTACAGATCGTTCATTTTTTACGAGGGGAAAGTTTCACAAGAAAGAAAAATGCTTTCCGAGAAATCATTTTCCAGGAAAATGCTTTACCCTTTTTTAGGTTAGAGAATTCATTTTCATAAGTTTGAGAATGCGTATTTTATTTGACCGGTTATTCATTGACGGATCATTTTCAGCAAATCAAACTTATAGAAGTTCAGAAAACTAATTCGTAAATTATTTTCTCGAACAAATGCACCCTTAGTATAAATAAGTAAATGTCTTTTTGTTTGAATCAATTGATGGTAGAGTCCCTCTAAATTTTTTTTACATAATGAAATTTATTGCGTATGATTTTAGACATCACTCATTACTTCCTTTTGTTTAGCAAAAATTTTTTTAAAAACAATCATTCGTATCGTATACAAAAGTGAATAGATGAAAAATATTTTCATCGTTCACGAAAATATCAAGACATTAATCGTTGTCGATAATGAAAATCTCTCTTGTTAACTAATTATTTCAATCGATATAAGACACCACTTTTAAAAAATATATTTTACAAATCTTCCATTTTCCACGAAACAAACGGTTTTAATATTGAAAGCCCACAACATTTCAAATTGTATACATTTAAATTTTAGGAAAATGGCACAAATAGTTTTTGAACTTTGGCCTAATATTTAATGTGTTCCCAAAATTTTTACTTTGTACAATGTGATCCCTGAACTTTAAATTAATGTGCAATGTGATTTATGAACTTTTATTTTGTACATTATGATCTCTGAATTTTTTATATATATTTAATTTAATTTCTGAACTATATATAAAAAAAATTGATATCACCCTGGTATTGAATTAATGGAAAGACTCCGTTTAATATTTTCAATTACTACGCGACTGCACTAATCACCAGCGAAGTACAAGGGGGAAGAGATGCACGATCCACGTCGTCGTTTCCCGTAGGTAAAGCATCCTGCTCAAGCTCGCCTTCGCGACCGCCACTGCAAACACCCAACAACGAACAACAGCGAGCTGCTGCTGCTTCTTCAGGAGCCGCCATTGACGATGGCTCTGCTCAAGCGAAGCGCCCGCCTCCGCCTCGCTCTCCCTCGCCTCCCGCCTCTCTCCGGCGGTCCTCTCTCTTACTCCACCGGCCACCTTCAAGAAGAGCGAGAAGGAGACGGAGAAGGAGAAGGAGAAGAAGAAGAGCCGGGAAGCCGCGAGCTCGCCGCCCCCTCTCCTCCTCTCTCCCCCGAAGAAACCCTAGTCGCCGACAACCTCCACGCCCTGATCAGGGAGCACCACCGCCGGAACCCCGGCCTTCTCGCCCCCACCCTCGCCCCGCCGCCGGACCCCCGCCTCACCATCCCCGCCCTCTCCCTCGACTTCTCCCGAGTCTCCCCCGCCCGCCCCATCTCCTCCCGCGTCGTCCGCCGCGTCGTCGAGAGATGCGGCGACCTCCGCCACGGCGTCCCCTTCCTCCAGGCGCTCGCCTTCTTCAACTGGGCCGCCGCCTCGTCGCAGCAGGCGGAGCTCGCGTCCCCGGCTCCTTACAACGAGATGATCGACCTCGCCGGGAAGGTCCGGCAGTTCGAGGTGGCGTGGCACTTGATCGACCTCATGAAGTCGCGAGGTATTGAGATTAAGGTGGGGACTTTCGCGATTTTGATCCGCCGTTATGTTAGGGCGGGATTGGCTGCCGAGGCTGTCCACGCCTTTAATCGGATGGAGGAGTACGGTTGCCGGCCTGATAAGGTCGCCTTCTCGATTGTTATTAGTATGTTGAGTAAGAAGAGGAGGGCGGTCGAAGCTCAATCTTTTTTTGATAGTCTGAAGGATAGGTTCGAGCCTGATGTCGTTGTGTACACTAGCTTGATTCATGGGTGGTGCCGAGCCGGTAACATCTCCGAGGCGGAGAGGGTGTTTGGGGACATGAAAACGGCGGGGATAAAGCCCAATGTGTATACTTATAGCATTGTGATTGATGGGCTGTGTAGGTGCGGGCAAATTACACGTGCCCATGATGTTTTTGCGGAGATGATTGATGTTGGGTGCCAACCGAATTCTATAACCTTTAACAATTTGATGCGAGTTCATGTGAAAGCCGGCAGGACCGAGAAGGTTCTGCAGGTGTATAATCAGATGAAGAGGCTCGGGTGTCCGGCGGATACGATTACTTATAATTTTCTCATCGAGACTCATTGTAAAGGCGAAAGTCACGAGGAAGCTATGAAGGTGCTTAATTCGATGGTTAAGAAAGGCTGCAACCCCAATGCATCCACTTTCAATCCGATATTTAGATGCCTTGCAAAATTGAGAGATGTAAACGGTGCTCACAGGTTGTATGCTAGGATGAAGGACTTGAAATGTACGCCTAATACAGTGACGTACAATATACTGCTGCAGATGTTTGCTGACTCAAAGTCAACTGACATGGTTATCAAGTTGAAGAAGGAAATGGATGAGAATAACGTGGAGCCCAATGTGAACACATTCCGGATTTTGATCTCGATGTACTGTGGGATGGGGCATTGGAACAATGCCTACAAGTACTTTCTAGAAATGATTGAAGCCAAGTGCTTGAAACCTGGTTTGCCTGTTTATCAGATGGTTCTAGAGCAGCTTAGGAAGGCAGGGCAGCTGAAGAAGCATGAGGAGTTAGTGGAGAAAATGGTGGATAGGGGATTTGTTGCTCGACCTTTGTAGGATTGCGCTCACCTGCAAATGCAGGTCAAGTAAGTTACATAATGTCCTAGCATTAGTTTCCAAACAATCTTTTTTGTTTTTTCTTCATGTTGAAATGCATAAGAATAGAGTTTAGCATTTGACATTTCTTCAGGGCAACAATATATTAATGCGGAACTATACTTTGTTGCCTTGTTTGTAACTCAAAAGCAAATTCTGGTATGAATATTTATCGGTGATCTCTCTTCCTCTGGAAGTCCCTTTTCTATTTGATTTAAGGACGAAAAATCCTCGTATGGAACATCTGCTTTGTTCAGGTCCAGAATAGTGCATAGTTTTGTAAGTTCCAAACTTGACACCACTGTGTTTTCCCTTTGTTTGTATGAAGTCAATATTTTGACTGAACAACTATGTATCTCTAGTGTGTAGTGTAACATCCAGTGATCAAATAGTCAAATAAATCGTCATTGCTTTCATCACGAAACATTTATTCTAGTAAAACCTGTTCATGTTAATGTATTTTCATGTCGTAGCTCTATTTTACTCCGGTCACTTGCAAATTGCTATCAGTTCTCAATGTGCTAACTCAAACCAAGCATTAACATACTTCAATTTGCTTTTGTTCCTGATATCCAAATGCTTTTTCTTGATTGTGGCTGGTGAAGTAGGGGGCTGGTGGCGGCTCCTGCCCCCTCTGGGTCCCATTTTTTGTTAAATATGTAAGTTGAAAATTTAAAGAAATAATATTGAAAATTTGAGCCCCCTATTAGGATTTTTGGTCCTCTATTGGGTGGTTGCCTTGTCGCTTCCTCATATGAAATAGATAGTTTTGCCTAGCTGCTCATGATTTCTGGACACGCGATGAAGTTTTATATTAGCAGCTGCCAGCCACCACTGGCACTTCCAGAGCAATTTTAGGGTTTATCACCTCGTTCTTAGATGATTTATGATTGCTTGAAAGGCTTCATTCCGATATACATAAAATGATGGATATTAATGGAGCTAATACATTCCAACATTCTTAGAGTAAAGATTCTGCTTGAATATGTGTGCCTCAGTGCTCAAACTGAGGAAAAATAGAGTACTAGTTGAAGCACGTCTCCCAATCATGTACGCTCTTCTGCCATGTGATGCTTAGTGTATGTGAGATGTGCCTGTCTTTTTAAAAATTTCATCTTCCTCCCCTCTGGTTTGTAACCAAGTTATTCCTTTGTAAGACCTCTATTAAATGATGCCAGGGAATGCACATAGAGTTTTATTTTTCTCGCCCTTCGGATTAGTTAGAAGTCCATATTTTAGTTTCGTTGGTCTGTGAACCCCTTTCGACTCTTAATTGCAATCAGCATAGTACTTTTGACACTAAAAGTGCCACGTAAGCTTTCAAGCATTCGGAATACAATTTGGTTGTTAGACCTATTTGGATGATGATCCATCTGAGTTATATGACATTTCCGCCGATACTGTGGTGCTGCAGCATAGCATAATGTTTGACATACATCTTAGTTTGGCACACCTGTATGCAGTTGTGCGTAGATTTGCAGTGGAGCCATATGAATATGCTATTGTTTGTGGTTCATACGATGGAGCTGTCCTCATCATGTAGCTTGCAATTCGGATGTATAGTTCATTTGCTTGAACACGTTGGTAATTGAGAATCTCCTTTTATTAGTTCTCTCTACTGGAACTTTCGTCATGTCTGCAAACTTCGGTCTCCCCTTGTTGGGATCTACTTGCGCATTGAGTTTGAGGAGCACAAGCCATTCTCATACGGTTTGAGCGTCATTTTGTAACCTCCTTCATAGATTAGTTAGTATAAGTCATTTGCAAAGCTCCTGACCACACCAATGACTATGAACCTTGGAGTCAGCCTTGTGATAGCCATGCCCTCCGTCAGCACCGGCATATCGTGATCCAGTGGACAAATTCTCTCGCCTCAAACTTTATATTTTGACCGAGCATGAAGCAGGTGAATCCATGTCACCGCTCTACTCGGAAGACATGCACCGCCGATCTGTTAATGCATTTCCGTATTTGTTAGTTGCCAAGGACACGATGGAAGTGAAATTGTTTTTACCCCCTATTGAAGGGCTGTACTGAGGTCGTCTTCCACCGTCCCACTCGAGTTACTATCCTAGTCACCGAGGCCGGCCGCCCTTACCGATGGAATCCATTTAGAGTGGTCCAGTTTGAGACCATTTTTCAAAATTTTTGTCTAGGTACCTGTTCGGATGTTTTACCAGTTCGGATCTTGGATCTGCAAGCCCCCCGTGAGCTGATGTTGAAGCTTCAGAGGCTTGCGAAGAAGAAGCGGCATTCTAGTTCCCCGTCGTCCCCACATGTAGGGGCGGATCGAAGGTTTGGTATGCTCTTGTGTCTTACTGTTCGAGTATCACTGGCCTGAAGATGCAGAGTAGCTGGTAACAGGTCCGCCGCAAGGCTGTCCCTGCCCCTGTCAGGGGATACGCCAAGCCAACCCAACGCAAGTGACCCACCATCTCTAGTTCGCATGCAGACGTTCGTTCATTTGCCAAAATGACCAAACTGGGGTTAAGCTTTCTTGACCTCCTGTGCACATCTTCGAATTCAGTTCTCGAGCAAAGGCCTGCGTCGGCTCGTAGAGAGGGCCGTTCTTGCTAACGCTTCCGTGCTCGCTTCGCTCGAAAGAAGTCCAAGGAGTTATCTGGTTCAAGTCATTCGAAACACTAATCTCTTTTGTCTCTCTTGGCTTGGCATTCGATACATAATACGCTGCTCAGTGCTCGATCGGTGCCGCCCAAGTACGCAACATATCTGGTTTCTCGGCTTCCTTCTAAGAAGAGAGCATGATAGACACTGAAGGGCAAGGGAGCTGAGGGTTTCATTCCCAACTCGCCTGTATCGGCGGACGGATACCCACATGATACATATACTGACTTTTCCTATTGACCAGGCTCGACAAAATCGTCGGCAACAAATCAAGAATTGATTTCGCATAATATTCCGATGTGGTCGCACGCACTCTCTTTTGGACAATTTGCATTCGACATGGTCTGTCGCTACTACATCGGCAGCTCAGCTGTTCTGAAGATGTCGACGTCACGTGCTCACGACATCGCCTAATGCGAAGATACACCCCAACAATCAATCTTTCCCCCGCCCCCCCACTCCTAAAGTTTCGAAATTTACTCAAATCACCCCCACTCGTTTTAGGGATTATTCCGATAAGATCCAGCAAAGTGAGATCTACTTTTTATCATAAAGAAAATCGGTGATCGACGTGAGGACATAAAACAACCAGCGAAAGGACGAAAGGAGAGCCAAAAAAAGTTTGACAGATCCAAAGCGGGAGGGCGGGACCCCACGTGGCCTCCGGATTCACGCCCACTGGCTCCTCTGGCTCTCACTCACCAAGCTCACACGTTCGTCTCAAAGCAAAGAGATCGCGACAAAAAATTCAAAAGGGGCTCTTCAAAGAAAAGGGAAAACGAGAGAGAGAGAGAGAGAGAGAGAGAGACAGGGGAGGAAGAAGACACGGTGCAGGCCAACCAAGGCAAAGTTTCAGCTCATGTCCCTCTCTCCCTCCCATGTGCGCCTCGTGCTCTGTCCCCACCGCTCACACCCTGTCTCTCTCTCTCTCTCTCTAGAGGAAGTTTCGCCTGCTCTCGCGTGCACGCTCGCCCACGTACGCGTTCGCTCCCCCCTCGATTCACCACCACCACCACCACCAGGGAGCACGAAAATGGAGAGAAATTGTTAAAAAAGAAAAAAAAAAAAAAAAAAAGGATCAGCAAACGGATTGCGGGCGATGAATCCGGGCTGAAAAAATTCAATCCCGGAAAGAAAAAGGAGGAAACTTTGTCGTCCAGTCGGAGGGAATCTTTCCGTAGCTGTCAATTCTTCGATTTTCTTTTTCCTCCCTCGCATCTCAGTACAGCTTTCAGCATTATAATCGCATCATCGATGATGATTTCCCAGATTCAAGATTCATTCATCCCCGAGCACGGAATAAGCAAAGGAACCAGCACCAGCACCAGCACCAGCACACTAAAGCATTAAAGCGACGCTTGCAATCTAAGCCATGGGGATACCTGAACCAGTATTCAAATTGCGAAACCCAAAAGCGTACAAGGAAGAAACTATAACCCCAAAATCGAAGCGAAAAGAAAGAAAAAAGAAAAAGGAACCCAACAGAAATGGCTTTCTTGTTTTTTTTTTTCTTTGGGTCTTTTTCTCTCTCTCCCCCAGTGATGAATAATCTCAGTCATCATCATAACTCAGTTGAGCAACGCCAAAGAAAAAAGAAGAACGAAAAGGGAACGTTGAAATTGGGGTGTGGTTCGTTACCATGGGTCCGCGGATTTCCCCCCTTCAAGAAGAAGAATCGGCGGCTGGGGAGGAGTCCCTGGGCTTTCTGCAGAGGATCATGTGCATCGGGGTGAAGATCCCGGTCTCGCCGCCGCGGGTCAAGTAGTCCGCCGTCTTGAACAGCATGTCGTGGACGTCCACCGTCCCCTTGGGCGCGACCCCGAGCGCGGCCGAGATCTTGATCAGCATGTGGTTCCTCCAGTAGGCGATCCGGCCCATCTTCAGCCTCGTCCACCAGGGGCCGGCGGGGGGAGCCGCCAGGTCCCGCTCCTCCAGCACCTCGAACCCGACCCGCCGAGCGGTGGCGGCGATGTCGACGTGGCTGCGGAGGCCCGGGAGGGCGTCGCCGCGCTCGATGCCCTGGATGATGTCGACGTGGGTGGGGTCCTCGCCGCGGTACTTGTCGGTGGTGACCCACTCGTAGGAGACGTAGAGGGAGCCGGGCTTGAGGACGCGGAGGACCTCGGCGTAGACGTCGTCGAGGCGTGGGGCGTGGCAGGTGGCCTCGATGGAGTAGGCGCCGTCGAAGGAGGCGTCGGGGAAGGGCATCTCGAGGAAGTTGCCGCAGACGACCTCGCAGAGGCCGTCGAGGCCGGCCTTCTTGTTGTGGGCGCGGGCGCGGGCGACCTGGTACTCGTTGATGGTGATGCCGACGACGCGGGCGCGGGAGTGGGCGGCGATGGCGCGCATGGGGCCGCCGACGCCGCAGCCGACGTCGAGGACGCGGCCGCCGGCGTCGGCGCGGATGAGGTCGGCGGCCCTCTCCTCGTGGAGGCGGGTGGCGTCGGCGTGGGAGCGGCCGGGGACGGCGGGGGAGAAGTGGAAGGACTGGCCCCAACCCCACTCGTAGATGTCGGTGACGAGGTTGTAGAAGGTGTCGACGAAGTCGGGGACCTTCTCCTTGGTCTCGATCTCCTTGGGGCGCCGGAAGAAGGACCAGTAGCTGTCGTAGTTGCCCTGGACCTCATCCGCCGCGATGGAGCCGCCGGAGATGGAGGTGGCCCGCTTCCCCTTCTGCTCGGCGGGGCCCAGGACGCAGACGAACCAGTAGATGCCGCCGGCGATGAGGGCGCCGGCGCACCACAGGGCCACCGACGAGTCCATGCCTTTTCCTCCCCTTTTAGAGAGAGAGAGAGAAATCTGTAGAGCGAGAGAGAGATTTGATGAGTAACGGAAAGAGTGAGAGAGAGAGAGAGAGAGAGACTGAGGGTGGTTGGGGGCCCGGCGTTATTTGGGGATTTTATAGTGGGGAAGGGTTTGACTGTTCAGTTCCAGCCGGAGCGGAGCGGAGAGTCGCGCGGGCTCGGACGGGTTGTTCGTGTGTCCATAGTTTTCTTCGCCGCATTCGATCAGTGGAGGGGAAAATTCCAAAATAAGCAAACTTTGAAGTGTACTCTCTTTTTCCCTAACCGAGGGGCCTGAGATGAGCTTTGTTTCGAATAAGACCCCGAAGCATCCTTTTATATTTTCTCGAATAAGGATCTTCGAGTACATCTTGTTTCAAATAAGTTTTTTCTACGTGGGCATTTCAGTCTTAAAGAAGGGCACCGACCTCACCGGATAGTTAAGGGCGTTTTTTTCTTTTCGTTTGCTCCCTTTCTCCCTTTCCTTTTTCTTTTCTCCCTTTTTGCCCTTTCCTCTCCTTTTTTTTTTTTTTCGGCTCTCACTCGCCTGGCCCGGGGAGGGGGGCCCGGCGACCCTCGCCTAAGCAAATCCTCGCCTAGGTAGGGCGACTCTCGCCTCGCCCGGTGGCTGGCAAGGGTCGCCGAGCCCCTCGCCAGCAGGCCACACGGGAGAAAAAAAAATGGGAAAAATAATTTAAAAAAATAAAAAGGATGCAAATGCCCTTGATCAGCTACTGAGGTTAGTGCTTCTTTTTTTTTAAGATTAATATGGCAACTTTAAACCCTTATTTGAAATAAAAGTCCACTTCGAGGCCTCAGTTGAAATTTTCCCTGATCAAACGTTACATATAATTTTATCGAATTTTACGGCATCTTATTGTAATGAAATTCAACGTAAAATATCTTAAAATGTGAAAAAATTGCGCAACCCTATCTAAAAAGGTTACTTTCCCTTCGTGAGATGTGTATCCCTAAATCGAGGGTCGAGATTTGGATTGAAATATCTTAAAATGGTTGTTCAACTTTGAATTTATGGTATGATGAAGTGGATCCAGTCATGTCACATGCTGTGTTTCACTAGTGCTATAAGATCGTTGAGATATTTAACTTAGCTACCAAAAAAATCTTCATGTACTAGAAAATGTCCATAAATGTCCTTTATGCCTATTGTGGTTCCGTTACCTTTCCTGGGGTAAGAAAATGGGGGCAAAACTCCAGTGTTACCCTCTTTACTTTTCGGACTAACGTTAGATCTACTCCGATGTCCTTGTCAATAAAAGAAATAACCTTTCGGTGGCCTATTGAATGCTTTAGCATCGCTTATATCACGGGATTCAATGACCAATTCGTGAACCAATTCGTGAAGAACCAACACGCACATGAATTCCCTTCCCTAAAAGTATATACGGTTTTCGATCTATTGGAAATACTCTCAGCAGCTTCCAAGCTCGAGAGATGAGTTGTAGTAATATAAATGGCTGATCCGAGCGGAGTGTACGGCATGCGGAGGTGATCGTGAGGGGGGCCTCGAGCCGGCCCGACTTGAATTTTCGGTCGAACCCGCCTTCATAATTATTAATTTTTTTTGCACGTAAATTTCGAGATCGGGCCGGGCCGACCCGGGCCTGGGGTGGGCCCACCCAGCCCCAAAGATCGGGTCGAATGGCAACGCAAGCTAAATCGTATCATTACCGAAGTTGCTATATACAAATATCGTGAAAGGTGGCACGCCAGAGTCCCTATGCTTTTTGCCCTTTCCCCACTAGAACCAAAACGTCCTTTATTCACGTGACTGTAGATCCACATCCATGGGATCGCACGTGGAGGGAGAAAAAAACAAGATTAGCGATTATATATTTTAATATTTACCAACTATTTTCTGTAAAATTAATAATAAGTGTCACGGACGCGGGTGCAAAAAATTAAAAAAGGAAAATTTGGTTTAATAGAGACATTTCTTCTTGTGCAACGGGTAAAGTTCGAGCCAGCTTCCGCGCGCTTCATCGGGTGCGTTCGGGATTTTAGTCCCTGAGTGTTTCGAACGAGCTATGGAATCACGAATGCAAGGAGAGGAACTAGGTATCTTACCATCTAAGCCAACGACTTATCAATTCTACGAGAGACTTAGGTGATATTACAAGATTTACGGGGACTTGATGAATCGCTATTTTTACCCGTTGTTGAGCATGTACAGCGTTGTTTTAGGCAGGAGATTTCATTGGGAATTTCGTGTAAAAGTTCGAGCACGAAATGGGCACGTTAGCACGTGTCTGCTAGGGGAATTTCTCCTTTTTGTTGGGAAACCATTTTCTTAAATCTTGAAACAAAGATGTGTTGGTTGTATTGCTTTCTTCGTAGTCCACGATGGTACCACATTGCGATACAGAGGATTGGCGGGCAACTATGTTATTGACTTGGAATAAGTCGATAAGCCATACGATAATGCCTGCCTCGGATATCTCGGAGCATGTCACTACAATTCCTTGCGGTAGGAATATGCGACTAGACCGGTTTACTCGAGAATCGGATTGGACCCCCTGAAAAACATATCCGAGCACCGGTTTCCGATTAGAACTGATCTGGTTCTCGGTTCCAAGTGTAGACCCAACTAAGATTATAATAGGGTAGGTTTTAGATTTCGAGTCTGGAACCTACCTACCCAGAAGCCGATTACACCTACCCTACGGTGCCATGACCCTTCACACGTTGAATCAAAAGGGTACGGAACGTCAATCATTTGAGTGATAAAGCATTCTTCACCGTTAAATGGAAACGCTTTTAGTTTCCTCGTCGGACCTTATGGACGTCACCAGGCCATGGCAGAAGCCTCGCTTTCCCTGTACAACCCACCCCATCTCTTACGAGAAAGTGCTCGATAAACGTCCAATTAATCTCCCAAGAGCTATGTTTTCGAATAAGAGAAAACCCCCTCCAATCATGCCCCCAATTGGTGGGTCGTAAATGTGGATATCATCGGCATTCAATTTCGCTTAAGTTTATATGTGGGTGATATCCAGAAACTTAACCCACCAATCAGGGATCGGGGTTGTTTGGAAAGGATTGCCCATCTCGTGATTCAATATGAAAAAAACAGAGGATAAATGAATATGGCCGACTAATTGCAAAAAGCATTAGAAGCCCGAGACTTCACATTAAGGCTCTTTTGATTTCGTATCAATCTATGAGATGTCTTGAACTTAATTATTTTATTTTGTGGCAACGTGCCTCCTCGAGCATCGCCTTCTCGTTAGGAAAGCCAATCGGTATATCCAACGTATAAATTTCGTAAGAATACAAATAATATAAAAATGCTTGACGTGAGATAATTGATTTTGAACGGATCTGAGGACCGACGAGCTGGACCAGGGATCCGTGCCCCAACCATGAAATGCATAACATGCGATGGAACTCGCATGAACATACACCGATACGACGATACGATATGACCACGTGGCAAGCCTACGTGGCCCCGGAAGACTCGTGTCCCCGTTCTGCTCCGTCGCCGGGGTCCACACCCAGCTTAATTTCCACCTGGCAAATTCCAAATCTCACAGGTAACATTAATTTAATTGCAGATATTTTTCTGCCATTATGTTTCAGCATCGTGCTCGAATCTTTTCTTCAATTTGATCTTTTTTTTGCTTGCCATCACGTGCCTTCACGATGAGTTGCCCATCCGTCGTTTACATCGCCTCCTCAAATTCGATCCCATCGACGGCGACTTCAGTTTCGTCTCGTTCCTAATTTTGCGCTCTTGTTCGCTTTGGTCTTTGGGCCATGTGGGGGGAAAGATGCCTACATCATGGACCCTTCGCTTTGATAATTGAGGTGGAATGTGACGACGCTTTGTCTCGATCGGATCTCCGCCACCATTTGCGCATAAGATTAAGGGCGATATTTTTCGGTAGAGCATCGCCACGTGGAGACCTGGCTATCCGGAGGCCCATGGAATATCCAGTCAAGTAGGGGTGTGCACGGTTCCTGATTTTAGGGTGAAAGATTCCGGTTTCAGGAACGGAATAAGGAACCGGAACCGGAACCGTCACTCTCTCTCCTACTAAAAACCCTAACTTTCCTAGTTTCTTCCCAAATTTCCCCTCACTCGGTCGCTCCTCTATTACGCTCTCTCTCCCACTCCCCACACCCACGAGTCAACGAGACCCTCTCGCCTCTCCTCGCTCCATTTGGCGTCCGCCTCGGCTCTTCCTCTGTCTTCATCAACCGCGGTCCGGCTCGTCCGCGGTGGAGGTGGGCTTCGCTTCAAGGCTTCAAACGACGTCCCCTGTGTTCGTCTTCGTTCGGGCTCACGCACCGCTGCATGCGGTTAACGGGATTGGAAGAAGCGCCTTTCAATTCCCGAGTTGAAAGACCGAACATCGCGAGGGATCAACAGGCACCTGTATGGAAAAACTTAACTAAAATCAGATGTATGTGATGTCCATATCGGCAAACACCCAATCAATCATAGGTATGATTGGAGCTTTATTTTGCCATTCCTGGTCGTACATAAACCATATAGAAAAAGAAAAAGAAAATCATCCCGGGGATCATACCATCTGGGCTGGCCCAGATGCAGCAAGTGGGTCGTTCCGGCCCAACGTGGCGGGCCGGGAAGATGGGCCTAGCACGAGTCCAAACCCAGCGGCTATGGTTATATTGAAGTAAGCATGATGAGCAGTAGCCAATAGCCATCATCGATCAATGGCCTGTTGGCCATCCTTTAAAAAAAAAAAAAAACGGATCGGGCTTGTCGATATAGTAATCAACGGCCTCGATGACATGAAGTGCCGACCCCGACTCGCTACACAAACGGGCCCGCCCAACCCGCTTCGGCACCCAAACGCTGGGGGCCACGAGCCAGCCTGCGTGGCACATGCAGTCTATTGCTTTCTCTTTATATTTCAATTCAATAAATATAATACGGTGTGCATCGCCCATTTCTCGTTCTCACTTGGGAGCTGTTATATGCAATTATTGCAAGATAATTATTAGGTTGTCGCCGTACATAATACCCCCGTCGTGTAACCGGTTATGGATAACATT